ATTTTTTCTGTACCATTTCTTTTCTTTTATTTTTATTTCTCTCTCTTTGGAGAGAAAAAAAAATAAAAAAAAATAAATACAAGTGTTGCATTCTTATTGGAAGGACCACAAATAAGGGGATCATAATAAATTTTTCCACTTTGTGCTATATTTTCCACTTTTGTGTGTTTTTATTTTTTCTGTACCATTTCTTTTCTTTTCTTTCTCTCTCTCTATTGGAGAGAAAAAAAAATAAAAAATAAAAAATAAATATATACAAGTGTTGCATTCTTATTGGAAGGACCACAAATACGGGGATCATAATAAATTTTTCCACTTTGTGCTATCTTTTCCTTTTTTTGTGTGCTTTAGTTTTTTGTACCATTTTTTTTTCTTTCTCTCTCTATTGTAGAGACAAAAAAAAAATAAAAAAATAAATACAAGTGTTGCATTCTTATTGGAATGACCACAAATACGGGGATCATAATAAATTTTTCAGCTTTGTGCTATATTTTCCCCTTTTTGTGTGTTTGTTTTTTCTGTACCATTTCTTTTCTTTTTTTTCTCTCTATTGGAGAGTGAAAAAAATAAAAAAAATAAAAAATAAATAAATACAAGTGTTGCATTCTTATTGGAAGGACCACAAATACGGGGATCATAATAAATTTTTTCACTTTGTGCTATCTTTTCTCCTTTTTGTGTGCTTTATTTTTTTTGTACCATTTTTTTCTTTCTCTCTCTATTGGAGAGAGAAAAAAAGAAAAAGAAAATACAAGTTTTTCATTCTTATTGGAAGGACCACAAATACGAGGATCATAATAAATTTTAATAAATTCTTCCACTTTGTGCTATCTTTTCCCCTTTTTGTGTGCTCTATTTTTTCTGTACCATTTCTTTTCTTTTCTTTTCTTTTTCTTTCTCTCTCTATTGGAGAGAAAAAAGAAGAAAAAAAAGAAAAAGAAAAAATAAATACAAGTGTTGCATTCGTATTGGAAGGACCACAAATTCGGGGATCGTAATAAGTTTTTGCACTTTGTTCTATATTTTCCCCTTTTTGGGTGTTTTATTTTTTCTGTACCATTTCTTTTTTTCTATCTTTCTCTCTTTATTGGAGAGAAAAAAAAGAAAAAAAAATAAATACAAGTGTTGCATTCTTATTGGAAGGACCACAAATAAGGGGATCATAATAAATTTTTCCACTTTGTGCTATATTTTCCCCTTTTTGTGTGCTTTATTTTTTCTGTACCATTTATTTTTTTCTTTCTCTCTCTATTGGAGAGAAAAAAAAAGAAAAATAAATAAATACAAGTGTTGCATTCGTATTGGAAGGACCACAAATACGGGGATCATAATAAATTTTTCCACTTTGTTCTATATTTTCCCCTTTTTATGTGCTCTATTTTTCTGTACCATTTCTTTTCTTTTATTTTTATTTCTCTCTCTTTGGAGAGAAAAAAAAATAAAAAATAATAAATACAAGTGTTGCATTCTTATTGGAAGGACCACAAATAAGGGGATCATAATAAATTTTTCCACTTTGTGCTATATTTTCCACTTTTGTGTGTTTTTATTTTTTCTGTACCATTTCTTTTCTTTTCTTTCTCTCTCTCTATTGGAGAGAGAAAAAAATAAAAAATAAAAAATAAATATATACAAGTGTTGCATTCTTATTGGAAGGACCACAAATACGGGGATCATAATAAAGTTTTCCACTTTGTGCTATCTTTTCCCCTTTTTGTGTGCTTTAGTTTTTTGTACCATTTTTTTTTCTTTCTCTCTCTATTGTAGAGACAAAAAAAAATAAAAAAAAAAATACAAGTGTTGCATTCTTATTGGAAGGACCACAAATACGGGGATCATAATAAATTTTTCAGCTTTGTGCTATATTTTCCCCTTTTTGTGTGTTTGTTTTTTCTGTACCATTTCTTTTCTTTTTTTTCTCTCTATTGGAGAGTGAAAAAAATAAAAAAATAAAAAATAAACAAATACAAGTGTTGCATTCTTATTGGAAGGACCACAAATACGGGGATCATAATAAATTTTTCCACTTTGTGCTATCTTTTCTCCTTTTTGTGTGCTTTATTTTTTTTGTACCATTTTTTTCTTTCTCTCTCTATTGGAGAGAGAAAAAGAAAAAGAAAATACAAGTTTTTCATTCTTATTGGAAGGACCACAAATACGAGGATCATAATAAATTTTAATAAATTCTTCCACTTTGTGCTATCTTTTCCCCTTTTTGTGTGCTCTATTTTTTCTGTACCATTTCTTTTCTTTTCTTTTTCTTTCTCTCTCTATTGGAGAGAGAAAAGAAGAAAAAAAAAAGAAAAAGAAAAAAAAAATACAAGTGTTGCATTCGTATTGGAAGGACCACAAATACGGGGATCGTAATAAGTTTTTGCACTTTGTTCTATATTTTCCCCTTTTTGTTATCTTTATTTTTTCTGTACCATTTCTTTTTTTCTATCTCTCTCTCTATTGGAGAGAAAAAAAAAAGAAAAAAAAATAAATACAAGTGTTGCATTCTTATTGGAAGGACCACAAATAAGGGGATCATAATAAATTTTTCCACTTTGTGCTATATTTTCCCCTTTTTGTGTGCTTTATTTTTTCTGTACCATTTCTTTTTTTTTCTTTCTCTCTCTATTGGAGAGAAAAAAAAAGAAAAAAAAATAAATACAAGTGTTGTATTCGTATTGGAAGGACCACAAATACGGGGATCATAATAAATTTTTCCACTTTTGTGTGTTTTTATTTTTTCTGTACCATTTCTTTTCTTTTCTTTCTCTCTCTATTGGACAGAGAAAAAAATAAAAAAATAAAAAATAATTATATACAAGTGTTGCATTCTTATTGGAAGGACCACAAATAAGGGGATCATAATAAATTTTTCCACTTTGTGCTATCTTTTCCCCTTTTGTGTGCTGTATTTTTTTTGTACCATTTTTTTCTTTCTCTCTCTATTGGAGAGAAAAAAAAAGAAAAAAAATACAAGTGTTGCATTCTTATTGGAAGGACCACAAATACGAGGATCATAATAAATTTTAATAAATTTTTCCACTTTGTGCTATCTTTTCCCCTTTTGTGTGCTTTATTTTTTCTGTACCATTTTTTTCTCTCTATTAGAGAGAGAAAAAAAGAAAAAATAAATACAAGTGTTGCATTCTTATTGGAAGCACCACAAATATGGGAATCATAATAAATTTTTCCTTTTTGTGCTATATTTTCCCCTTTTTGTGTGTTTTTTCCTGTACCATTTCTTTTCTTTTCTTTTCTTTCTCTCTCTATTGTAGAGAAAAAAATAAAAATAAATAAATACAAGTGTTGCATTCTTATTGGAAGGACCACAAATAAGGGGATTATAATAAATTTTTCCACTTTGTGCTATATTTTCCACTTCTGTGTGTTTTTATTTTTTTTGTACCATTTCTTTTCTTTTCTTTTCTTTTCTTTCTCTCTCTCTATTGGAGAGAGAAAAAAATAAAAAAATAAAAAATAAATAAATACAAGTGTTGCATTCTTATTGGAAGGACCACAAATACGAGGATCATAATAAATTTTAATAAATTTTTCCACTTTGTGCTATCTTTTCCCCTTTTTGTGTGCTTTATTTTTTCTGTACCATTTTTTTCTCTCTATTAGAGAGAGAAAAAAAGAAAAAATAAATACAAGTGTTGCATTCTTATTGGAAGGACCACAAATATGGGGATCATAATAAATTTTTTCACTTTGTGCTATATTTTCCCCTTTTGTGTGTTTTATTTTTTCTGTACCATTTCTTTTCTTTTCTTTTCTTTCTCTCTCTATTGGAGAGAGAAAAAATAAAAAAAAATAAAAAATAAATAAATACAAGTGTTGCATTCTTATTGGAAGGACTACAAATACGAGGATCATAATAAATTTTAATAAATTTTTCCACTTTGTTCTATCTTTTTTCCTTGTTGTGTGCTTTATTTTTTTTGTTCCATTTCTTTTTTTTCTTTCTCTCTCTATTAGAGAGAATAAATAAATAAATACAAGTGTTTCATTCTTATTGGAAGGACCACAAATACGGGGATCATAATAAATTTTTCCACTTTTTGCTATATTTTCCCCTTTTTGTGTGTTTGTTTTTTCTGTACCATTTCTTTTCTTTTCTTTTCTTTTCTTTTCTTTCTCTTTATTGGAGAGAAAAAAAAATAAAAAATATATAAATACAAGTGTTGCATTCTTATTGGAAGGACCATAAATACGGGGATCATAATAAATTTTTCCACTTTGTGCTATCTTTTGCCCTTTTTGTGTGCTTTATTTTTTTGTACCATTTTTTTTCTTTCTCTCTCTATTGTAGAGAGACATAAGAAAAATAAAAAAATAAATACAACTGTTGCATTCTTATTGGAAGGACCACAAATACGGGGATCATAATAAATTTTTCAGCTTTGTGCTATATTTTCCCCTTTTTGTGTGTTTGTTTTGTCTGTACCACTTCTTTTCTTTTCTTTCTCTCTATTGGAGAGAGAAAAAAATAAAAAAATAAAAAATAAATAAATACAAGTGTTGCATTCTTATTGGAAGGACCACAAATACGGGGATCATAATAAATTTTTCCACTTTGTGCTATATTTTCTCCTTTTTGTGTGCTTTATTTTTTTTGTACCATTTTTTTTTTCTTTCTCTTTCTATTGGAGAGAAAAAAAAAAGAAAAATAAAAAAAATAAATACAAGTGTTGCATTCGTATTGGAAGGATGGGTAGTATGCGTGTGGGGGAATGGAAGTTGTTATGAGTATAAGTGAGAGGAGAGGAGGCCATTCAGTCAGTTAGTGAGTTAGTAAGTGAGTAGAAGGAGAGAATAGAGCACTTTCGAATTGCTCTAGTTGTAACAGACGTTTTATTTCTTTTATTTCAATACCAGTAAGAGCATTACAGAGAACTTCATCTCTTCATTCTTATTTGTATGTTAATTGATAATTCTGCTGTTAACATTACAATTGGTATCAAAGCTTCCAATTCTGGGAGCATTATATGGTACTGACGAGGAATATGGAAAATCGTTTGTCGACGTTGGAGGAAAAGCTTACGCTATGGTTCACTAATAGCGAAGAACGTTCAAGACGTTTGCAGGAAGGAATCGAACACCGTTTTCGTCAATCCAAATCGGTACAAGAAGATCTGCGAAGGATTATTAATGGAATGATTCTGGATCGAGGTCGAACCGGTGATAATGGGGGGTTAGGAGGTTCCAATGGAGAATCCAATGGAACGAATGGAGGTCCAACTGGTAATGGAGGCTCAATCGGAGCTGGTGGTCCGAACGGTGGTGGTTGCGCTGGCAGCGCGGACGGAGGGATCGTTGGAGGGAATACGGGAAACAACGAAAATTTCGTGCGAAAACTGGAGTTACCTCTATTATGTCAAGTGGAGTAACGTGTTGGCCTTTGGTTCAGAAGGTGGGACTTGTATTATCTTTTATAATTAATGTGGTGATCCTTGAGAGAGTCTCAAAGACAACACCATGTGACCTCTTATATGCCCTTGTCTCCCAGTAGCTCCTATGAGTACTCCTCCTCCGCCAATCATTCAAGTAGCCAACGATATCCTTTTTATCTATATATATTCATTGCAGCCAGCATTCAGGACCAACACAAACCATTCACATCCTGAAGCATTAAAAATTCACAAACTTGTACAAGTCCTTTTTTTTAGACCATTCTGTTCTCAAGTCTCATACAAAAATGGGTTTTCGTTTACCAGGTATCAAAAGAGCATCATTTGTTGCAAACAAAGCAACTTCGAAAGTAGTGGACGTGCCAAAGGGCTATCTTGCAGTGTATGTTGGAGAGAAAATGAAGCGGTTTGTGATTCCCATATCATATTTGAACCAACCTTCATTTCAATACTTGCTGAGCCAAGCTGAGGAAGAATTCGGGTATGATCATCCACTCGGTGGTCTCACAATTCCTTGCAGAGAAGATGTGTTCTTCGATATCACTTCTCGCTTGGATAGGTGCTAACCTCATGATGATAGGACTGACTTATACATATATACTAACACAATTTTTGTAACACAGTACTTTCGTCTTACATTGAAAATATTTTCTCCTTTTTTTGTTATCTTACTTGGGGAAGTGTAAGAATGTTCATCTGAATGAGAAGTTTATGAACGTTACCGTATTTCTCTCATGTTCCTTTCAAATATCAATGTGAAAATCAAAGGCACTAATAATAAACTGAATGTTCAGTTTAAAATCTGAACATGATAAAATGGAAAATTCTTTTCTTGGTGCTATAAATTGAGAAAGAAAATAAATATTATTTCCTTTCATAAAATCGATTTCCCCCCTTTTTGCAGAAAAAGAGAAAGGTTCAAGTAATTATTATGATTTAATGATTTGAATTAAAAAAATATTATGGAAAAAGAACGTAATTATTGGATAAGAATCTAGTTAAATTTTATGTCAATTTAAATCACAATATAATTCTCAATATATTAAATTGAGATAAAATCATTAACCCATACATTCTATAACCAAATTCAATAACAAAATAGCTATTTTTATTTTTATTTTCAAATGAAAAATTACATTGCATAATTTCATTAGTTTTATCTTCTTTCTTTGAGATTTTAGGACAAGCCACATAATTTACCATGACTATAAAAGAAAACCAGTAGCCCAAGTGAAACTAGAAAATTGAACTCGATAGTTTCATATTTGCATATTTAGCCACAGCCAGCCACTCCATGTTGTTGTCATGGACTCACGGTATGATGAGCTTCATTGGGTTCCTGGTACCAGCTCCATACAACTACTGCCCCCGTTCGCTAATGTGGGAGGGCCCATTTCGGGACCTCTCTCTTAATTATGTAATTCAATATACTAGATCTTCATAAGATAATTAAACAGATTAAGGGCTAGTTAACTATAATAGCGATATGCAAAAAAATTGGTTCACTTGCCCTGTGTTGGTAGTAATTGTCGAATGAGTCTCCAAATACAAAGAAGTCATCCATGAAGACCTTTACATACTCATCAATTATGTCATTAAAAATGGCAGCCATGCACCTTTGAAAGGTGGCAGGGGCATTACAAAGCCCAAAAGACATTATCCTAAATGCAAATGTGCCATATGGACATGTGAATATTGTTTGTGTTGGTCCTCTGGAGCTAAAGGTATTTGGTTGTAACCAGAATACTCATCAATGAAACAAAATTATTCTTGGCTAGCAAGCTTGTCAAGCATTTGATCTATGAAGGGTAAGGGGAAATGGTCTTTTTTAGTGGCTGCATTAATTTCCTAAAGTCCTGACAAATTCTCCAACCGGTTATGGTCCTATAGTTAGAATAAGCTCATTGTTTTTATTGAGCACAACTGTGATACCTCCCTTTTTAGGGACACAGTGCAAAGGACTTACCCAACTACTATCACAAATGGGATATATCACACCAGCATCCAACCATTTAATCACTTCCTTTTTTACCACTTCTTTCATGGTTGGATTGAGCCTTCTTTGAGGCTCAATAGAACTGTTATTTTCATCAATTACCCTTATCCTGTGCATATAGAAAGAAGGACTAATTAATGCCTCTAATATCAGCCATGGTCCAACCAATGGATCTCTTGTGATTTTTAAGCACATTTAGCAGCTGATTTTCCTCATTGCTTTTGAGGGCAGATGCAACAATTATTGGGAGGGTGTTATCTCTTCCCAGAAAAGCATATTTGAGGTGGGTTGGGAGTTGTTTCAACTCCACGCCAGGTGGTTCCACAATGGATGGTTTAAGAGGTTTAGTGATTCTTTCATGAAGTTCAAGGGACTCAAAATGTTTATCACCAAAGAACTTAGTAGGATAAGACGTGAATGCACATGTTTGATCATGTTCAGATGCAGCATTCTCATTAATTTCGAAAATAGCAGATTCACTAATTTCAAGATTTTCTTGAACATGGGCAGCAACCAAGTGATTAATGATAGTTATAGCAGAACAATCATCAACTTCATCATCCACAAATCTCATGGCTTTAAAAACACTAAAGATCATAGTGCCATCATTTGCCCTTATTGTTAACTCTCCTTTTTTAACATCTATCATTGCACCCCCTATAGCTAAAAATGGTCTTCCTACTATAATAGGAATGTTTTCATCAACTTCACAATCAAGGATTATGAAGTCAGCAAGAAAAATAAATATTTCCACCTTTACCAAAATATTTTCAACTTTTCCTTCAGGGTATACAATAGACCTATCAGCTAGTTGGAGAGTTAATGTGGTGGGGGAAGATTTTATTTCTAGTTGCTTAAAAATGGAAGCATGCATCAAATTAATGCTACAGCCTAAATCACATAAAGCTCTACCAATATTCCTATCCCCTATAATACAAGGAATCGTAAAGAAACCTGGATCCTCCAACTTAGGAGGTACTTTGCTGGAGAGGATGCTGCTGCATTCTTTAGTAAGTGCCACTGTCTCAAACTCCTCTATTCTCCTCTTACTAGATAGGATGCCTTCATAAATTTGATGTAGCTTGGCATGTTTTGAAGGGCCTCCACAAATGGAATGTTGATCTGGAGTTGCTTGAGGATGTCTAAGAACCTCTTGAAGTGCTGCTCCTGGTTTTGTTTTTGGAACCTTTGTGGAAATGGAATCTGCCTTGCCTTTGATATTGGTTGAATGACTTCATTTTTCTGCATAGGTTTGGCTGGCTCCTTTAATTTAGGTGCTGATTTTTCTGTTTTTCTCAAATCACCTTGCTCCTTGTCGCTTTCTGAATCTTGCACTTCAATTACAGTAGGCTCTTCCTTTTCAATTGGTTGAACATTTTTTTTCTGCCAACTTCCTCAATGTAGAAGGCCTAATAACATGCTCTGGTTGTTCAACCTCTCTTCCATTTCTCAAATAGAGAGCTTTACAAAACTCCTTTCCATCTCTCCTTGGTGCTTCAGTATCACTAGGAAAAGTCCCCACTGGTCTATTGCTAAGGGAAGATGCAATCTGCCCCATTTGTGTCTCTAAGCTCTTTAAAATTGCTCCATGACTTTGAAGCATGACCTCATGATTTTGCAACATTCGATTTGACCACTGGTCATTTGGAGGAGGTTGATTTTTTGCATTTGATTGCCTTTGTTGATCTCTAGGATTTTGTGAGTCAAAACTAGGTGGAAAAGGATCTTTTGGCTGATAAGATTGCTGCCCTCCTTGGAAGGACTGATGTTGATTTCTATTTCCAACATTTTGATGGTAATTTTGGCCTTGATTTTGGCCAAAATTTCCACCTTATTGCTGCCATCTACCTTGGTTGTAATTCCCTCTATTATTGTAGTTTCTATTGTAGTCATCAACATAGAAGGCTGAAGAAGGGTTTCTTGGGCACTCCTCAAACAAATGGGAACCATAACAAAGTGAGCAGATTGGTGTGGCTGCAGCTACTTGGGCAGGTGGTTGCTGTTTGGTTTCGGCCATTTGCTTGACTAAAACTTTGACAGTGTTATGCAATGCTGCCATCTCAGCTGCCATGGAAGTGACTTCACTCACCTCATAAAGTCCAACTGCCTTCTTTGGAGCTTCATCTCTCTGTTCTGGCCATTGGCAACTGTTCTGGCTTATTCTCTCAAGTGTCTCATAAGCCTCTGGATACCTTTTCAACAAAATTGCTACATTGGCAGTAGAATCCAAATGAGTTTTACCTTGGTGACTCAATCCTCTATAGAAAATTTGAATGGTGGCCCACTTAGGAAGACCATGTGTAGGACACCTTCTGATTAACCCCTTGAACCTAGTCTAGCTCTCATGGATTGACTCATCAACATACTGTCTAAACCCTGTGATGTCATCCCTCAAATCACACACCTTTGTGGGTGGGAAAAACCGCATAAGGAAGGCTTCCCCAAGCTCCTTCCACGTGGTGATGGACTGCGCAGGCAGATCTTCGATCCACTCTTCTGCTGCCCGAGCTAGAGAAAAAGGAAATAGCTTATGTGGATTCTTCATGAACAACAAAAGTATAGGAGATTTTCATGAATTTTGTTATGTGCTTGTGGGGGTCTTCCTTGGGTAATCCATGATATTGAGTCATGGATTGCAGCAGCTGTATCATTCCTGGTTTGAGATCAAAATTCCCTTCCACTCCTGGCTGGACTATGCCAGGAATCTCACCATCAAGTGATGGAATAGCATATTCAGCAATGGGAAGCTCTTCATCCACCACAACTAGAGCATGTTGCCATTCCCATTGCCATTGACGTTTTCTCCATTAACAAATTCATTGTTCGATTCTGCCATCTTCAAGAATTCAGCAGCAATATGTGTAATACTGCTGGTTATTGTAATTAGAATTGAATTCTGCAAGAATCTATCAGGAACTTGAAATTGGAGTTAGCAGATAACAAGAAAAATATGTGAAAAAGAAAAGAAGAAAAGGAAAAAAAAAATTAACAATTCTAAAACAAAATCACAAAAGGAAAATAAAATCAAACATCGTTCCCTAGCAACGGCCATTTTGTTGGTAGTAATTTTCTGAAGATAGAGTTATCGTTCTCAGGGAACAAGTTGAATTATTTTTCTGAAATAAGGATTCTTGAATTGAAGTTTTTCTATTTTTATAACAAGAAATTTTGGATAGTCTTTATCAATTATTAAAATCTGATCTAAAAAGTAAAGAAATAATTTATCAATGTTAAGGGCTTCTGGGTATATCTCAAATCATGGATAACAAAAATTATTTGCATTCCTGCAAATTCGTACATTGCTATAGCATCTTTATCTCTGTTTCTGAGTTACTACGGCAAGTTTAGCCGAAGCTTTCCAGGTTCAACAATAAGGTTCAAGAAAGACTTTTCTCAAAGTTTCTTGAATCTTTATAGAAATTTATATCAGAAAACACCTTCAATTATTCCTAACCAAAAGGGTTCATTTAACACTTAACAAAAGTCCATTTCCCAATTTTCTTTTGTTGAAATACTCAAGTCCCATTCCTATGGAGTTCTTGAGTTAAAAAGATAAAAGTACCAAACGAATGAGGATGAAAGAAACAATAACAATGCACATCAAGAAATTTCACCCAATCATTTTGAATACCCAGAAAAAGAAAGGAATTAGAAATCCATTTTTAAAAACAACAATTCAAAGATTAAAGAAAAAGAAACATGCATTAAGAAATGAGATCAAGGTCAATCGTACAAATCAAAAGCACCAATTACTATCTAGGACTAGAAAGATTTAAACTTCACTTGCATGCACCATTGATTCTTCCTTCCGGCAAAGATACTTTGTCACTGCACTTCGAGCTCAAGAAGAAGAATAATGCATTCAGCCTTCAACACAATCTCTCAACACTCGGAGTCTTCTAAAAACAAGCAATAACGAAGTAGAAAATTTGTATATGTTTTACAACCCACAAAAATAACTAAAAACTAAAAATTCTAAAAGCTAGTAGCCGTCTACTCTTCTTGTTCATCCAATGGTGAAAATATGTTCTCACTTCCTTGAATTTGATCCACGTGGCTGCTTCAAAAGCAATTCCTAAAAAATTGAATAATTACATTTATCAGTAAAAATAAATTCACTTGGGCTTGGTTACTTCCT